CATGTTTTTTCTCTCAATATTGTACATATACAACTATATATATTAAGTGAAGTAATGCCGCTGAAAAGCAGCTGCTCTTATAGCATGATAGCGCTTAAACTTGAGCTAGCCAAGCCTTTTGCCCATTGTAATAACTGAGCATTCAATCAGAAGCATAACTGCTCAACCACTGAAGGTAGCCACGTTAAGGCTGACCTCATTTGAGTATTTGTAGTAGTAATATGATGCGGATAACGTCGAAAATTCATTTGGATTGTGTACCATGTACATTATGGCGCAGTGCTCGTTCTCATTGAATGGTTTTGGTCATAGAGGCAAAGTTATTAAAAAATATACATACCATTTATGTAAATCGCCTTTTTATAAAAAAAACTATTTATTTATTATCTTTGTAAAGATCGTAAAGGGTAGCATTGTTCTGTAACCGAAAGTTGGTAATCTAACTGAAAGGTATTTTCACGATCAGTCTTGGCGTTTTATGCTTCGTACGGTGGAATCAGAACGAGAAACCTAGTAGGAATATTTGGCATTTTGTAAAACATTTTATGATGAACCGTCACATTTTCTTTTTCCAAAGAACTATAAATTAGACCAAGAATCGTTCAAGCAGTGATATACTGCAAGCTTTGTACTTGTTATTTACACCAGTTACTCTCCTAATTCGAAGAGTTTTTGAATTTTCTGCTTTAACTTATATTACAATCTTTTAGCCTGCTCATGCGCTTCGTAGAAGACAGATTTGACGAGTCCATACCTTCGACTATAGGTAATGAGGAAGCAGTCCTGATGGTTGCATTAACTCACGTTTTAGGTATCGATTACAAAATGAAGACAATTACCGTTTATGACCAGTCAGTGCGTTTGCAGTTATGGGTATGCACAACTATAATCTTTTTGATAAAATGTTGCATTTGATTCTTTTCTTTGTTTTGCACACTTTCGTACATTTTACACTTATCATTAGATTATGAAATGACCTGATATTGTTTTAAGTCGTACGGCACCCGGCGAACATCAGGTACTTGTATGTCACCTTTATGTCCATTTAATTAGCGCGTTTTCGGGGACGATGATATCCAAATCATGGATGCACCTTGTCATCTTATTTAAACCTTGTTTTTTACAATTTGTACCTAAAAGAAAAGATTATTATCACTAACAAACAGTTGCCGATCCGATATCTCATAAGGTTACGCTGAAACAACAACGAACGTTGATTATTGTTAATGCAAATCGATCAAATTGGCATCAGAAGCAAGTTTTGTTGGCTGATTCATTTGCGTTCCCAGTCAGTATTGGAACTAAACTTTGTGTTGGCTGGTGTAAGATCATTCATTAACAGGCTTTCGATGCGAAGCCTATATTCCATATTTGGCTATATAGCTCACAATACTGCTTTTCTGGGATATGAAGATTAATATCTCCTTATTTCGCTTGAAGTTTGCATGCCTCCTAAATTAACTGGGCCATCAGTTCCTGTTTTCACAGCTGGTAAGGTCACGCCTATGCTTCTGACGGCTGAAAGCTGACTTCAACAGGAGTCTCGATGATATAAAAGCAGTCCTGTTAATGTTTTGGTCAGAAAATAAACGTTCCACCTTTGCTTATGTGTTTAAGCGTAGCCTACTTGATGGCTGCTTTCCAGAGACATAAAGAGACCCCAGAACAGTTCTTGTTTCTACTACTCAATATTCAGCAAGGCCCAAAGACTTTCGTCCAATTGCCATATTATCTAAACTGCTAAAAGCAATAGAATTGTTGCTGTTGTCGTTCGTGAAAGAAATCACCTTTGTCGTTGAGAATCCCTATCCACGGGTCATAAAATTAATTGCTGCGTTTTAGACTCTTTCGGCTCCCTTGTTGACTTTATGGGCAGGAAACTCGATCAAACGGGTTGTTTCATTCGCTGCCTTCTGTTTGACTATAACTCCGCATTGAGCGTTTTCTCTTGGTTTCAATCCTTTCATTTTGCGACTGTTTTCTGAATACATTGGACACAATTCGCGGCCAAAGTAATCAACTTTCCGCGATTACAACACCGAAGGTTCTTCAAAGTTCGTTAATATTACTGATACTGACTACTTTTCGTATACCGTTGGTCTCCGCTTCCTGCATAAAGTGTTATGACGACACAGCTTTCATACGCTTTGTCTCGTTCAATCATAATCAGCGTGCTTATAATCTCAGAGTTAAAGAAATACCAGCATCTCATGGATTGGTACTCATTACATCGTTATGCACTAAGTTGAGCTTTTCCAAGTTATTCGTGAAACATCCTTTGTAAGCTTTGTCTACCTGAACTACGATTATAGTTGATTCACAGTCGAAAGTCATAATATCTCAGAAGTACCTTGGTCTTATCATCAGCAACAGCCTTTCCACGTCTAGATCATCATGTAAAAATGGTGGCTGTTAACATCCATAAACTGCACTGTTTTTTACGCAGGCTTCGACAGGTCTCGAGCATTCTTGAAATGACACAAAAATTTATTTTGACTTGTATGCTTCCAATAATTACTTGTTGTAGTCTAGTGTTTTTCGTAGCTGTACTCAGCCACAACGATGTTTTATTGGTCCGCTGCATCAAGCGAATTTACCCAATTGATGGTGTCGAAACAAAAGTGCTCGTGACAAAAACAGGTCGTGTTGACAACAAAATCGCTGAAGTGCGAAACTGGTTTGATGCCTACTAATCGCTTATATGATGTCATGGTTGGCAGTAAGTGAAAACGGCTGAGCACTCGATCAAACAATGTTTTCATCACAGCTTGAACTAAAATATATCGGAATTCATTGGTGCTGTTCATCGCTCGCTTACTTAGCGGTTGAAGCAAATCTCTTGTTGCGTTTCTCCTGACTGTTAAGTTTCTGATTGAACTACTTTATTTAGTACCGTGTACATTGACTGTATCTATGTTGTGTTTTTCCTGTTTGTCGGTCGAGCGAGCTGCCGGAAACTAAAGTAAAATTCTTAGTGTAAGTTAGTAAACAATTTCCATTAAATCGAAATTTAAGCAGCAGCACTTTCATCGTGTCGTTTCAGGCATCCGTCCATTTTCACAGCCTGTTATTCATTTACATTCCCTATGACCGCAGCCTCTGAAGGATTGCCTAATGGTTCTTTCCATTGGCCAATCAGGCAGCTTTCATAAGCTGGATTCAGAAGTTCGAGACTGCTGGGTATTCCTCTTAAGCCGTCTGACCATCATTCTGCCCCTTGATTGTTTGCGGTGCAGCTTTGCAAAGTAAGTCCGCTCTGAGCGTATCTTTTCTGGATGTACCGGTCGCTTGCCTGAATCACTCGATCTGGAAATGCAGTGGCTCACAAGTAGGACAGTTCTGAGGCAGTATTTCGAAAGTAATTCACTTCTGCTTGAGGAACATTATTGTGAGATTGTGTTTAAGGCCTGAAAAGGACTGACATCGGTTTTATTTGTATGTTGCATTGGGTTTCATTGTCAAACATTTTATTTAAAGTCATCCACTACGCTTGACTTAACGACTCTATTAAACGCATACAATCATTTTTTTAACTGAAATTTTGCTTCATGAATTAGTATTTTCTTATAATCGATCAAATCTTTAGATGTAATATTCTTTAACAGGTGAATTGCTGTAATTTGGCTCCGAAATGTATCGGCATTCACTGTAGGTAAAGCTTTGTGGTACGTTGCTTATGTCTTTGTGAACCTGGACCTTTTCTTCTGCTGAAATTTATCTCACACGTTGCTGTATTCTGTTAAATAAGTCTTTTCACACAGCATGCTCAATTAGTTATCCCATAATCTTAGTTTAGTTTACTTTTTTGCAACATGTGGCATTAAATGCTCTTTTCACTGTTTGCTAAATCAAACTGCTGTGCTCGTCCCTACGCTGTCAGTAACTCTAAATAGCTCTGTATCATCACGAGTTACAATGACTGCATCCTAGTTTTGTTTACCAGTGGTTGTTTTTCATAAATCGTCTCTTGAATTCTTGGCTGATAATGCTTGTAATTTTAAATCTTTTGATGTTAACGTTGCAAAGGTGTTCTTAGAGCTAGGACCGTTTGTACACTTGTTCACAATAGGAGGTGTGAGACTGCTTAGCAAATTTCTTCACTATTTACGTTCAATACCACAATTTGTTGAAGACAGTGCCAAAATAAATCCTGAATTAATGGCGTAAATATGGATTGCAACGGGAAAATAATGAATTCCTTCTGTATGGATGATGGTCGCCAGCAATGTAAAATATGTTATAGTAGCCAGCCGCGCAAATCTGTCGTGATGAAGATTCATTCCCTCAGCGGCTGAAATATTTGTTTTCGCATTAATACCATAAAAGACATTTTTCTGTGTCAAGCCCAGTCCGCGTTCACCTGCCACAGTATTCAACAAGTAGCGTAGTCATGGCTGACGCATGCCATTGTTATAGTGTGCAGGTTCGTTTTTGCGCCAAACATGTTACTATGTGATTCTTTCATGACTGATCCATTACCTCCACGCTCAACGTTCTTTTATATATTACCGTTGTCTGTCTGATTCAGGACTGTTGGGTTGAAGATTTCTTTTAGCAAGACGCTTCTAGCTTTGGTTACTTTGATACCTCTGCAGTCATTAGAGTTATCAGTGGTGATTACGCTGTGAAACGCTGATTGCATTTATTTTATGCTTTGTAGGACATGTTCGTGCAACCACTCAGTACGCTTCCTTTATACTGTTTACTACTGGATGAAAACTTTAATATTTTTTAGGATACTGCTGGACTTGATCGTTATCAGACATTGACACCAAGCTACTATCGAGGGGCGCAAGGAATTATTCTTGGTATTTACCTTAAACTTTTGTTTATGGAATTTTAAACGTTTCTTATATGCTGCATTTGCCTACACTTTAAACGTTATTCATTTATAAGAGTAAAATTTGCCCGAATTGTAGCAGAGGAAAGCGTGTGACGTAAAATAGGTTTGTTCCTGCTGTTTACTGCTATATTCATTAATAAATACAGCTTCTTTGGCTTCAGTTTGTTTCCTTATTCACAATATCGTTTTGAATTATCTGCTGAATAAGAGATGCAACAAGTTAAGCAGTTTAGCTTTTTCCCGTTGACTGAAGGCGATTAGTTTGAAAAGATTTTATCTTCTCAAGTTATAAATGTTAATTCGGGGCCAGAATTGCTGCTTATTGCCATAATTGATGTTTACCGTCGTACGCTCTTTTGGCGCATTAATACACTGAGAGCGGGTCCCTTAAATTGATCACACGTTAGTTTGAGTTTTTTCTATAAGTTGTTTGTAAGCAATCATTTTTTGATTCACAAATGCGCTGAAAAATTAATGGATTTTTGTTTCATATTAATGCTTTTGAACATTTTTCAAAGTTCTTCTCTTGGAGGGCGTTTAGATGCAAGTTGTCAATTTTTGTTGCACTTTATGCATTTCTTTAGTGTACGACGTGACAGATCGAGATTCTTTCGATCAGCTGAACAACTGGTTAGACGAAGCACAGAGGTACTGTGAAAAGAAGGATTTCGTTGCGATGCTTGTAGGCAACAAAGTAGACATGGTAAGTTACGTACATTGGCAAAACATGGCATTCCGTTTAGTATCATTTGTTTTAATATCTACTGCCTTAACAATGTCAGGTAAAGCACATCCAAAAAAAGATGCAACAGTAGGTTATGTACTGGAGCACCAATAGACCAGCATCAGTAATCAAGCTGAATTAATCGTGTAGATCGTTTCCCGTTATTAATTTTATTGCTTGTTGGTTCTGTTATGATATTTACTTACTTCCATTTTCTCCCGTTTTCTTGACTCTGAATTATTTTGCTGAATGGTCTCACTTAATGACATCATTCTTTACGATCCTGTGTGTTGTCACGATACCTGCCGATTCTACTAGAGAAGATGTTGTACTTTCGCGATGGACCGGTTATTTTGAACACCTTCTTAACCCTGAGCAAACGTAAGAAGTTTCGCCTAAGAGCATCAGTAAACCAACACCAGCCTTTCAGCAGATAAGTCGCAGATGCTGGAAAACCTTGAAAAGTTGCAAGGCTGCTGGAATCGATGAAATCCGCCTTTAAATGCTTAAGGCTTTACGTGATCAACGCTTCTCATGGCTAAGACGTCTTTGTAAAACTGCGGTGACTACTGGGAAAACACTAATGGACTTCGACGGTGGCATCTCTGTTCAGTAAGAGAGACCATAGAGACTGCTCCAGTTGCCGGAACATTACGTTATTGAGCCTTCCAGGAAAATGTCTACACAGAGATGTTGGAAAGGAAGTTTCGTGGTTGACTTTAAGCCCAAAAAGATCAGTGTGGCTTCAGGTCAGGCGAAGCACCTCTAGAAACTTCTTCGGCTTACGCCAGATTGGTGGGAAACCATCGGAATTTATTCATCCGGTTTTCATGTACTTTGTTGACCTGGAGAAATCCTATGACCAGATCCTGCGCATCAGTCTGTGGACGTGCCTGCAAACATTTATAATCGATGGCCATTTGCTACGACCCCTCCAGCCCGTACAATTTGATACCAGGTTCTGCGTTAAAGTAAATGGCGTTAAATCGAAAGCTTTCAACGTTTGCACTATTCTCCGCCAAGAATGCTTTCTGTTCATTGTCATGTGTTGTACACGAATAGAATAGTCAGGTGCCACCAGGACCTTCTATTAGCGAACGAGGAGATGTAGAGATGAGAATGTTGCTGTTTTCAAATAACCTTATTTTTGGCTTCATCTTTAACTGGCCTCCGGCCCTCTCTGGCAAAGTCCGCTTCGTGTGTATGTGTATCAAACGGAAAGCGTAGTGCTTTCTCGTTCTCTTGTTCTCTCTGCCCTGCAAATAAATAGAGAAGCAGTGAAGCAGTTGGAGAAATTCACTTACCTCAGGGTCGTGTTTAATGGTGATGGCAAATGGAAGAGATACCGGCGAATTCGAATTGTCAGCGACGTTCTTCGTGAACCATTGTAACTAAAGCAGAGTTTAGTCTAAACACTAAGTTCTTTGTCTTCAAGTCGGACTTCATCCTTATGCCAACCTGTGGATAAGAATCTTGCGAAATATCTGAAAAATTTCGATTTCGGCAACAAGCGGCTGAAATTAGCTTTCACTGACGAATCGCTTGGCTCTGATATCATTATCGCCCGGAGTTCAGATTGCCTATAGAGCTTTAGAGTACAGCCGCTACTTCGCAATATTGACTAGTCAAGTCTGCAACGTTCAGGCACGTTTTTCTGATGCATTCAGAAAGGAAGCAAAACGGCTTCTTCTTGGTCAGCTGCCCTGCCGAAGATCCCGAAGACGAAGAATTACCCGGAAACACGTGCATTCACAGAGCCTTGTTCCAGGTCTTTATTTTCTTCTGCCGATGTTAAGACGCTGCTGCCGAATCGCGAACTTTGAAGCGATTTCTGACCGCTCTCATTCCGCAACTCAAAGGCAGATGGAGTAATC